CCATTATTTAAAAAGCTCGCTGTCTTTTTCCCCCACCAACCCCCCCCCCCCCCCCCCAAAAAAAAAAGCCAAGTGACCAAAACCCACCCAGGCTTTCAGAAAAAGCTACAACAGATATACCTCCCAGACTATTATGTTATACATTTCTGAGGACTACATCCCTAATCACGATTTCTAGCCACTAAGAACTTTTCAACACCAGATATAAACAGATAAACAAGTTCAAAAGCACCCATATAGCAGGAGCATTAAGCAATCTACTAAAACAAAAGCAAAAATGTGAGATTTTGGGCTTTCAGAGACACCAAAAACTGCTTCCAAAATCCAAATCAAGCAAGAAGCCAAAAGCAATTACGATCTGATGAACAAAACGAAAGGGGAAAAGCGCAATTACCTCATGGTTACAGCCTTGTCCTCGCTGCAATTCCTGTGCAAATACTTCCTACAAAATGAGGAAAACAAAAACAAGGGAAACTTTTAGCTAAACCGAAATGCTGAAGTCGGATAAGAGAAAACTCTAGTGGAGGCGGAAGAGAACCTTAAGAAAGAGAGCGAAACCCTAGAACAGGATTTGCAGGGCTGCTGCTGCTGAGTGAGGCAAAGGCGGAAGGGAACTTTGGCGCTTTATAAAAACCCTAGCTGCTACGTTTAGTTAGAGCATGTCCAGCGCAGGCCCATTTGCCAGGGCAAGAGGCCCGTTTGCTGGGTTTTGGACCTCCAGTGCAGAAGATGCAGCCTGGGCAAGCCCTGGGTTCCACCAGTCCGGGTAAGCCCAAAGGCAGATCTTACTTTAGCTTCAGCCCGAGGGCGCTGATGTCAGTGAGCAAAAATAGAATCTCACGCACCAACGGTAAAAAAATTTGACTTCCGCTCGATGACGTCAACTCGACGTCATCCTTGACAGAATTTAACGGGAAAATGCCACATGTCGCAACTTAGATGCTCCGATAATTTTTTTTTTCAGAAATCCGACGGTTCTCTTTTTTTAGCTAAAAAAATTCTGGATTTTTTCCTTATAAATACCTAACAATTTTATTCACTTTCCACACCAAATCTTCATACAATTTCTTCTCCTTCCAATATCTTTTACTTTCCACTCACATTATTCACTTTCCACACCAAATCTTTATACAAACTCTTCTCTTTCCAATATTTTTTACTTTCCACTTACATTTTTCTACTACTTTCCATTTTTATCAAAAAACAAATGGCATCTTCTATCGAAGCCGGAGGCATGTGGACAACTCAGGAAGATATTTTCTTGTGTTAGTCTTGGATGAACGTTAGTCATTGCCCTATCACGGGCAATGAGATGAAGTTCTCTCATATGTGGAACAAAATTCATGGAGAATTTTGTCAAAAATCGGGTTCCATTCAGACCGAAATGGTGTTGTCTAGTAGATGGAAAATTCTGAATAAAGAGTTAGGGAAATGGAGAAATGCGCAAGGGAGAACATTCGAAGCGGTCAAAATCTATCCGATGAGGTAAAATATTTATAATTGCCATTTTAATCAATTTAGTGTAACTTTTTTTTTTATTGCTTTTTCTTTTTCTTTTTCTTGCATAATCTTTATTTTTATTTTTTTTGCATTTCCAATTTGTCTTTTTTTTTTTGCATAATCAATTTTTTTCTTGCATTTCAAAATTGTTTATGTTTTCTTGCATAATCTTTTTTTTTTCTTGCACTTCCAATTATTTATTTTTAATAGATCATACAAGCACAAGTTTGGTTCAGTGCCATGGGCCAAGGCAAAAAAAATTTCTTGCATCACAAATGTTGGGAAGTTGTGAAGGATTGTTCGAGATTCAAAATTATTCCCACAGGTCCAGCAGTTGTGTTGAATGAGATGCCGCTCCACGATTCGCCATCAACCGATTCGCCATTGGA